GAAGGACCCCTGGGATTTGTCTGGAGACAGGCAGCATCCCCCAGGCCCCCTGTCTGGGAACGGTGAGACCCTGGGACGTGAAGAGTCCCCTGAGTCCCTGCTCTGAGGACAGACACCCCTGGAGCTCCTATCTAAGGGACCCCTGGCCCCTCTCTGGGCCGGGAGACCCTGGTCCCCAGTGGGATGGGACACCCCAATCTGTGTGGAACTTTCCCCCCTCTTACCTCTCGATGAATTTCTGGAAGATGCCCCCACGCAGGTTCTGGCAGATCTCCTCAATGTAGGGCTGGGGGGACACAGGGCTCAGCACTGGGTCCCCAGTGCCACCCCCAGGTCACCCTTACCCCTCAGGTCCCGTCATCACATGTGGTCTCCCCCCACCCCTGGGATTTCACATATCGCCACTGCCACCCTGCCACTGGCCAGGCTCCTGGGGCTGCTTCTGCCACCCAGGGTCACCTGAGTCTCTGGGGACCGCGACGTCACTACCCCTGGGGACCCTGCTGTCACCCTGGGTCACACCTACGTCCAGGGTCCCAATCGCCACCCTCTGAGGAGCCCCCCTGTTACCTCCAGCCCCCCGTTCTCCCGACTACCACCCCACGGGGACCCCAGCAATCCCCCTCACTCCCAACTTGCTGGGGAGCCCCTCACCATCCCTTAGAGTCCCCATACCTCCTGGGACACCCCCCTACCTCTCGGGGCCCTCGTCACCACCAGCCCCCTGTAAGGATTAACCCCCCAAGTACCAGAGGTGGTAGGGACCCCCTCTCTGTCCTGGGTGATGCCCACCTGGAATAGGTCTGGGGGCACCTGCTTCTTGCTCAGGCGGCTCTGGACATGCTCTGTGGCACTCTTGGAGAAGGGCTGTGAGGCGAGACAGGACCGTGTCACCCTGAGCAGAAGGGACAAGGCGCACAGGGGCAAGGAAGCCCCACAGGGGCCAGGCAGGGCTGCGCAAGTGGGGGAAACTCATGGAGGAACCCCCATCCATAGGGCTGGGTCTGCGGCTCCCAGAACAGTCAGTGGTGGTTTTAGAGCTCCCTCTGAAGACACTGGGTACCAGGCCACCTCCCACCCGCTCTGGGAACCCCACCCCGGTACCTCACCCCACTGTAGTGCTGGCACAGCGCCTGCGTGGCACGGCACTCACGTGGGAGCAGGCCAGCAGCTCCTTCATGATATAATGGTCAAAGATGTGGCGGCTCCGGGTGGTTCGCTCCTCCTCCGAGTCCAGCTTCTCGTACTTCTTGATCTGGCAAGGGCACGGCCTCCCACCCGCTCTGGGAACCCCACCCCGGTACCTCACCCCACTGTAGTGCTGGCACAGCGCCTGCGTGGCACGGCACTCACGTGGGAGCAGGCCAGCAGCTCCTTCATGATATAATGGTCAAAGATGTGGCGGATCCGGGTGTTTCGCTCCTCCTCCGAGTCCAGCTTCTCGTACTTCTTGATCTGGCAAGGGCACGGCTCCCGTGGCACAGGGGCACAGCCCTCCCCCCCCACAGGGCAGGCACAGCCCAGGGCTGGGCGGCCCCCGGAACGCTAGGAACCACGGCTCCAGCCCCTCTGGGTACCACATCCCATGGGCATGATGGTTATCACGTCCCCTAGGTACCCAAAGTGTCACCTCCTGGCCCCCTGGGCACCGCCTCCCTTGGGTACTCTGCATGCTCTTGGTACCATGTCTGCGGGCCCTGTAGGTACCAAATCCCACCCCTAACCCTCCTAATGGCCATGGGCGTCCATCCAGATGGGTCGCTCCATCTCACCTCCTCATAAAACTCCATCAGGGGTTTGGCCTCCTCTGCCTGGTTAAAGGCGAAGTCCCGGAAGAGCAGGTACCCTGGCAGAGACAGAGCCATGGAGTGAGAGGTGACTGACCCGGAGCGGCAGTGCGTGTCCCATAGCCCAGGCCAAGGGCCACAGGGATGTCCCCTGGGGCCTGCCTGTCCCCACAGCCACCCCCATGCCAGGCTTGGGGAAGGGGAAGTGCCAAGCTGGGGCCTGGCCAGGGTTTGGCAGGGTGATGCAGTGAGGCAAGGACACCGGCTGGCACAGGGAGGAGCAATGCAGTGCTATGGGGCACGGTGGGGCTGCGGTGGGGTAGCAAGGAGGTTGGTGCCATGGGGGACCAAGGGGGCAGGGGCACGGGCGGGCACCGGGGGACAGGCTGCCGGGGGGGGGGC